ATGATCCTCCAATGTCCGGCTATTGACGAGAATGTCGTTTAAGTAGACTAGTACGAACCGGTCCAACATCGCACGGAACTCGTTGGTCATTGCCGCTTGAAAGGTCGTCGGGGCAGCGGGGCATTAGTGAGGCCAAAAGGCATAACGATCCACTCAAAATGTTTGTACCGTGTCTTGAACGTGGATTAGTAGCAATCTTGCAGGCGTGTCGAAATTTGGTGATAGCCCAACTTCAAGTCCAACTTCGAGAAGAATTTTGCGCCGCCCAAACGCTCGAGAAGGTCGTTAATCCGCGGAAGAGGTCCCACATTCTTGACGGTTTGTGCGTTGAGCTTGCGATATTCGATGCACAAGCGAAAATCCTTGTTCTTCTTCCATACGAAGAGAACTGGCGCACCGTATGGTGAGCTACTAGGGCGGATTCAACCCTTGTCCAACAGATCATCGAGTTACACACGAAGAACAGCGAGTTTTTCCTTGCTCATGCGATAGATGCATCCCACGAGAAATGAAAGTTGAAAAAACATTCCATAAAAAAAAAAAATCCTTCATATTTATAAATTATCATTCCAATGTTCCCGTCTAAATATGAGCTTTCCCTTCCAATTACATCTATTTGTTCAAGATGGAATGGAAGTCTGGATGAGTTTATGAAATGTTTTAATTAAATTTGCATTCTACTCCAACAAGTATCTTCTAATTTAGATTGGATTAACCTATTTATGACTGAAAATCCTTACTTAGAATGACAGTCCAATTATAATATTTCATGAACTCATCCAGACTTTCATTCCATCTCTAGCATGCAGTCCAAATAAGAAGGGATACCCTAATCTTGGAATGAAAGTTTGCAAGTAAGATGGAAAATTTTAAAATTGGAATGACATTTTTAAAGATGGAATGAAAATTTAAAATTTAGATTGTAATTTTACTATAGAATGATTATTTAATTCTGGAAAAATTTTTCGTTCCTCCTTTTGGCGGCATGGCGCTGGCCTGAAGAATGATCTCGTGGGAGATCGGCCGATCCGGCACCACACCGGTAGGAGACTTGAAAATGTCGGTGAACTCGTCTAGCAGCTGCACTACTCGGGGGCCCGACGACAAGTCCATAGGTGAAGATTTGACCGTCACGGCAGCTCGTAGAAAACATAGGTCTATCTCGTCGGTCCGCTCGTAAGCGCAAGTGGCCCGAAAAGACTTGGCCGTTACAACTTGGCACCAGATCGAGGAGTGCAGACGAGGAATGTTACACGGTACCTCGGCGCTGAAGGCGTCGCAAACGGTAAGTGTCCGTTGATGGAAGTTGACCGTGTGATCAGTACTTGCAAGCCAAGGCATCCCCAAAATAATGTCGAGGTCTGTGTCCAAGACGTCAAACGTCACCAGTTCGCATGCATGAGGTGCGAAATAAACCGGCACGGCTTCAATGTAGCGATCGAGGAGTTGTTGCGTCCGACCGTCCTCCAACTTGATCGCCATCGGGTTTGGCTTCCTTCGAACTTGTGCGCCAAGGCCGGCCCTTTGGATAAAGGACTAGCTGATGAAGTTGCGAGTTGCGCTGTTATCCAGCAAAGCGTTGCAGGACGCTTGCCCAACTTGGATGTGGACATAAAGGAGCGGTGCGTTGTTATCATCATACCTCTGTATGCGAAACTCGAGGGCCACCTTGGTAGTGGTGCATAGAAGGCTAAGTATGTGTGGAGATGGGCGCATAATGTTGCGCATTGCAGTCCCAACAAGCAGCCTGTGGAAGGGAGAGGAAGTCATGCAAAATCCTCGGACGCCAACGGATCCAAAACCTCTATGTAGAACTCATGCATCGAATCCCTTGAAGAACCACTTGAAGACGATTCATTGTCGTTGTTGCCGGACAGAGAAAAAGTCGCACACACATCTTGTCCTTGAGCTTGATAACCCAGAGAAGGAACAAGTCAGGCAGCATAGTCCTCATAAAAATATAAGAGAGGACTGTCGACTTCCGCATGCGCCTCGGAATGAAGAGAGGTCGCTCGTGAAACAACCGATCCTGAAGGCGTCGAGAGTGTAGCCGCATCACTCTCGGCGGTGCTCACTTTCCCGAAGGGAATTTGCCTTTGACTTGCGTGGGGCACGTTGCGGTGTCGTGCACCGCGCTGTTGCACCACAAGCAATATCGGTACTTAGTACGGATGCGGTACATGCCTTCCGAGATACCGTAATGTGTCCAAGGTTCTTGAGCCGCTAGTCCGGCCCTGGGGGATGAATTGGTGTGTGTCTTCGGTTTGCCACGTCCTCGCCCTCTGGTGGGGCGGCCACCATCCCGGGCGGTTGCAATCTGTCTCCTTCCTCAGAAGAGGCAGCCTCATTTGAAAGGTCGGTCGCTGTAGTTGCTGCGACCATGGCCACTTTCGACCGATGCTGATCTCTGCCCTGACCCGCAGCAGACGAACGACCCAAATTCTTGACTTCGGTGGTTGTCACGATGATCTGTGAGGCTTTATCAAAAAGCTGCTTACTTGTGGCGAGCATACACAAATGGTTAACAGGTACCCTCACTTTTCACCCCTAGGGTAACCTTCACCACCCTAAAAAGTGTAGTGGGGATCATGTTGGGTTTCTGGAGATGGTTGTTTTTGGCAGTGCTGAAAATTGTGAAAATCAACAAATTGAAATGTTGGTGAAATTTCATGAAAGTGCACTTTTGGCTTGCTGTTTTTTATATGTTTTGTATTTTTGTTTTTCGTTTGTTTTTTAACAATATGTTAGTAAGAAGTGCACTTTACAGATTGGTGTAAAGTATGGTTAAAATGACCCTTTGGTTTTCTTATACATGAGGGTGAAAATTGAGGAGTCAGTTAACCTTCTCTCCTCCGAACTTGCGTCAAGGCGTTTTGCAACACTGGACAACCTCCTGATGAGGAAGTGTTTGACAGCGACAAAGGTCGACAGCAAGTTGGGCGTGGACGCCAAGCGTTGGTACTCGGTCGTCCAGTCCGTGTTTGGCAGATCATTCTGATAGAACCGTTGAAGTTTCTCGGTTGCCTGAAGCTCAGGCGGCTCCACTTGGAACTGCTTATGCCATGCTGCCTTGAGATCAGCCCAGCTAATCTTCATATGCAGCTCGGAGACTGCGACGTTGTGTGTGGACAACATGTTGTCCAGCCATGCCTGGCAAGCACCCCCGAGCGGGAGTATAAGTATGCGTGTCAGTTCGGGTTGCTGACGTGGTGAATGTCCAACTTCAACTCGAACTGGCGCCACCATGGAATCGGGTCCGTCTTCGCTGCATCGCAGAAGATCGACAGGCCATCAAACTTTGGGATGCTCTCGCGAGTAGTTGCGGTCGGACTGGCTGCGGCGGCACAAATCTGCTGGTCAATCTGCTGATTTGTCGCTAGAGCGCCGTCCTTGAGAATCTCGACGTCGATTTCCAAGACGTTGACGCGGTCCGTCAAGTTGGAGGGTCCGGCGGGGGTGGCTGTTGTAGGCTACTGTTCCAGCCGGCGTATCCGGTAAGCAGTTCATCGATAAGTCGAGCATGCTTCTGGACCAGGGTGTCCAAACAGAGGATGCCCTCTTGTTGTGCTGCACAGGTGGCGACCAAGTCGCTCACATGTTCGATTTTGGTTGCAACTTGCAAGGCCACGCACAGCAGGGGGGGCACCCTCTTCTTCAGCAGCCACTGCCCATTCGTTGGCGATCACCTCGATGTCCCCCTCGCATTCGAGGATTTTGTCTCGGCATAGTCGACGGCGTTCGTCTGCGGCCTTCCTTGCTGCCTCAGCGTCCTCCTTTCTCTGGTGTTCAGCGAGGCGACGTTGTTCCTCTGCTTCCTCATCTGCCTTCTTACGTGCGGATGTTGCCGCAGCTGCCCGTTGCTTGAACTCGCTACCATGCCTAGCATGCCGGTCTCATAGGCCTCGGTAGGGTCGTCTGGCTGCTGATCCATGCCGCTTGTCCTTGAGCGGGTGAGCACCATGCACTGACGTGACCTGCTGCTACGGTGACTGGTTGCTGACGTGGCACTGCCGCCCTGTCCTCCTGGCGTGGCAACTCACCAATGTCGCCGCAGGGGGTACCCGGAGGAAGATAGAGAAGACCAGAGTGGGCAACAACATAGGTGGGGAAGGGTGGGATAAATCACCCAGATAAGGAGCCACTAATCAAAAAAGAAAAGTTTGAACTTTGCAACAAAAAAAAAATCGAGAAAAAGAAAACAATACTCGTCTGCAAGTTCAGTAGGCCTCCCAATTTCCCTTGAAGTGCGAAATTACCAATAAGGGTCTCGTTAGACACTCCGAAAAGTTCCTGTTTTTAGGATTGCGTCTTGGTTGCACGCAATCCTAAATCGGACGCGGGAATCGAAAATTTGAAAACGGCATTAGGAGTCGTCCTAAAAGATTTAGGATTCCCCAGCCAAATCGTCCTAAATTTTCCAGTAGCCCCGGACCTACTGAAAAATTTAGGATTCCCCCGTTTCACGGAGTCGTCGTGTCGCGAGAATGGCACCGTCGACATGAAGGTGGTGGTCCAGGAGAGGTCCGTCGGGTCGGTGGGCGGACATCGGAGGTTTTCTGGCGGTCGACGACGGCAACAGCCCCCACCGGTAGCCGTTGGCCGGTGGGGTGGAGCGCGGTGGGCGAAGCGTGGCCTGGCTCGCGGCCGTTGAGGACCGTTGGCTCGGGTGCGGGCAACGGAGGAGTCCCCATACGTGCGCACGACGACACACGGACGCCATTGTGGGCGCCAACGGTCACTTTTTGAATTGCAGGCGGCATCGTTTGTCGTCTTCGCTGGAGGTCGATGACATATGAAGGCCCGGCGTCCTTGTCTGCGGGCTTGTGAGGAGAAAGTTCAGCACGATGTCATGTGCAAGGTCGCATGTCGACGTCGAATTCATGGCACACATGTAGAGGAGATTGCCTCTGCTGCTTCTCGTTGTCGTCGTCTTCCTGTTCATCGTCTTCCTCCACGTGTGCTTGTCGTGTCGGCCGTGGAAGCAACGTCCCAAGCACAGGGCGTCAACGAAAGGCGGTGTGCAGGTACGCACTGTTCCGCCCATGGCGAGCATGCAGGTACGCGTTGTTCCGCCTGCGGCTGAGGGCGGAAGAAGACCTCCGACGACGGAGCCTTCAAGGCGGTACGACCCCTCCATGTACAGCCATCTGCCGTCGTGGGAGACGCCGCTGCCTCCCTCGGATGAGGAGCCGGAGGGGGATGAACTTCCAACGTTTCCTCTCGCCAGCGGGTCGACGCAGTTGTTGTCGCAGACGGTGCTCGCAGGCGGGTCGGCAAACAACGGACGCGGCGAGTACACGACACTCCTGCAGCAGGGATTGGGAGACGACGACGACGGGGGAGTTGATCTCCGGCTCGGGTTGTCTTCTGGCGGCGGTAGGGAGGCAAGCGACACGTTCATCATCGACGCCGATCCTTCACCGCGTGGCGTTCAACAATCTGGAAGTCGGCATACAAAACAGTCCACACTTCGTGGCGGTGCGTCCGTTTGTGTCGGTGTCAGGCCATCGTCAGCAGGCCGGCAGCATGGATCGAGTGCACCGTCCGCCGATCGATTGACAAGCACCTGCCCCGAACGCAACGGAGTCGCAATAGGGTCCCTGCGCATCGGCGGTACACTTCATTCGATGCCCAAAAGCACAACACCGACCCAACCCGACCTCAGGGACGACGGCACGTGCACAGAAGCGGTGCGTCCAACACCCAATGTGGAGAACATCACACGAGGAGTGTCGAACGTGCGGGCACACAGCGATGGTGGCGACGATGATGGTGGTGGCGGTGACGATGCAAACGGGCGATTTGGGGAAGACGTGGAGGCAGGGGACGACGACGACGATATTCCTATTCGGCCTTTGGGGAAGACGGGCGGGAGAGGGAGAGGACGCAGCAGGGGTGTTGTTCGTGGTCGATCCGTTGGCCGTGGGGGCAGAGGTGGCGTCAGCGATGACGGCGGGAAGTCTAAAACGTACAAGTCCCCGGAAGAGCAAATCCAACTGGTGAGATGCAAGCGGGAGCAAGAGATGCACCTTGCCGGTCTCGGTCACAATTATGGGCGGATGCGGACCAAGGAGTGGAAGTGGGAAGATATTGCCAAGCGCATGGCGAATGCGGGGAGGCCGAAAGACGCGGACGACTGCATGAAGAAGTGGGACAATATCTTCCAAAACTACAAGAAGATACAGAGGTTTCAGAATGCAAGTGGCCGACCAGATTTCTTCCGGCTATCGAATGAAGAAAGGAAGGAGCACTACTTCAAGTTCCGGATGGAAAGGGCGCTATACAACGAGATCCGCATAGGCATGGTTGGCAACCACACAATTTTCCCTCCCAACATCGTCGACATTGGAAGTCCGGACGGGGTGCATCTGCCCAGGCGAGGAGCGGGTGCTGGGGAGTCTGTTGGTAGTGAGGGTGCTGGTGAAGGCCTCCCTGAAGAACGTTCTACTACGAGGGACTCCGACAACAATGCTGCCAGTGGGGCTGGAGGCGGTAAGTGGAAGAATGCGCGTCAACAGGCGTTGGAGTCGATTGCTGATGTCATGGACCGCCACGGCGAACTGATGTCGTCGACGATCGAATCATCTAGCAAGCGGCAATGCAGCATATTCACGAGGCAATGCGACATACTAGAGCAGGAAGTTGCAGTCCAGAAAGTGCACTATGCGGCATCCGATGAGATGCAGAGGATGATGTGCCACGCGCTTATGGAGATCGCTGCCGCCATCCGTGGTCGGTTGGCGACGTAGGGTGCATGGTGTGTGTGTGTGATAGTGAGTGTCAGTGTGTGCGGGTGTCCTCCACACAGTTGTATGGGTAGTTGTGTTTATTTTATTTTATTTTCGTCATCATTTTGGACGGCAGTGCATCGTCTGCGTTTTCACGGCTCGTCAACCAGACAGCTGCGTGTGGAATGGGGTTTGAAGTTTCCGGATTGTGATGGCGGAGGTTTTCGGTTAGTGTGTCGGAGAGAGGGATTCCGCAAGATCGTCATCAGTTGCGCACTTGTTTAGCGCGTCGCCTCTGCCACGAATTCGGGTTGTTAGGTTTGAATGGTTTGTGGTGTGTTTAGTGCAGGTGTGCAGTGTGTCGGTCGTTGGAGTCGACGACGAGATCATTCAATGTCGTCGTGTATTGTGTACTTATATTCACAGTTCGCTGTGCAAAAAGTTCATAGCGCTTTCAGCGCACTCTTTTTTTATGTGATGTGTCCGTTGTTTTCGTGTCTTCCGTCAAGTTCTGTGGAATGATTGCAAGATGATTGCAGATGAGCGACTCCTATGCATGCACGCAATCCATGTTCATCTATGTCTGTTTTTTTGTGTTACGCAGTTTACTAATGTTAAGCAGCTTGCATCAACAATTGCAAAACACGTTTGTCTGTCGTCCCGCCAGAGAAGCGAACGAAAAAATGCGCGACTGAAGATTTCAAGAGGCACACAAAAACAAATGAAAAAGGAGTTGAGGATGCAGAAGAAAAAAAAGAAGAAAACTTCTCACCAAACCGAAACATACGAGACAAGCGATTTGAAGACACAGACACCGAAAAAAAAAAAAAAGTATAAAAAAAAAAAATAAAAAAAAAAAATAAAATGAGAGAGATACACAAAAAAAGGTTCTTCCAATATGAAACGTTTGTACAGCTGTACGAACCACGCAACCGTCCAAACGACGAAAACAAGAAAGGAAGTCACAGACGACAATCATGTCGCCACACAATCGACCCAGCTACTTCGCGCAGTGTTGTCAATGGACACTGCCACGTGCCAATTCCACCCGCCTGCCGATCGCACCAACCCACATGCTATCAACCCCTACCCAAACCCCCTCCCGCCCCCCCCCCCCCCCCCCTCTCCCCCCTCCACCTCCCGTGCGCACGGTCCTACATCAGAGCTAGGCGGTCTCGAAGTGCATCCCGCAACAAGTCCCCGTCCATGTTCGTGCTCTGTCGCTGCCCGCCTGCGCCGTTCCCCACAATCCCCAAGTCTACTCTACGACGAATGTCCTTCTCATCCACCTCCCACAAAAGGTTCTCATCGAAGTCGATCCCCGCGTCAAGGAGGATGTTGTGGAGAGTGCACACTGCCACGAATTGTTGTGGCAAGGTCTCCAGGTTCGTCTTGTGGGTGTGCAAAAACAGACGCCACATGCACTTCAGTCGCCCAAATGCCCTCTCCACACACCCCCGCGCCACCTTCTGCCGCGTGTTGAAGCGCTCCTGGTTAGGATGTTGGTCGATTCCTCCGTACGGCTGCACGATCCATGGACAGGCAACTGGATAACCGTTGTCGCCTAGCAGGTAACCTCGCGTGACGACACCGTGCGACAGATTCTCTGGAGGTGCATCGAACAGCTCGCCAGCTTCTGCACGCCTCCACAGCTGGGAATTGTGCAGGACGCGGACATCGAGCACGCTTCCCGGGTATCCGATGTGGACGTCGAGGATCCGCAGATCCAAATCCACCACCACCTGCGCCTGCACGGAGAACTTCTGTTTGCGGTCGTAGTAGTTGTCGGAAGGTGCGCCGGCGGGCTTGTCAATGTAGATGTGTGTACAGTCGATCGCGCCGAAGCATTTCGGGAAACCCTTGTCACGGAATGCGCGCAGAATGTGCGCACGTCTACGGCCAACTGGCCACTTGATAGCGTCGGGGTACGCCTGCAGCAGAGCCGAAGTGACGTCGCGGACGGCCTGCAGTCCAGTTGCCCTGCCGATGCCGAAGGCCGAAGTGTCGCTCCCATACGTCTCTCCTGATGCCCACCTGTACAACACGAAAGCGATCACCTGCTCCACTGGCAAAGGCATCCTGTAGTGCGTCACCTTATTCTCCACGTACGCGGCGCACGCGGCAACGATCTGCCTGAACATGGCCAACGACATGCACAACTTCTGCAGGTAATACTCGTCCGTCGCGTCATCACAGAGGCGGAGATCCTCCCATGTCCCGCCAATCCGTCGTTTAATCCACCAACGCGAGGTCCGCCGCGGGAAAACGCCAGATGACAGCGCGGCGCAGAACTGGACGACTGCCTCACATGTGGCCACGCAATCCGGCGCTTCGGCAATGCGCTGCCAGCGCTCTTCGTTTTCGGAGCTGTGTCAGCATGTCGATTGAGGACGACGACATGCCGCCCATCGTGTTCACGACGACAGCGGTAACCGCCATCGCGACTGCGTCGATCTCCTCTTCGCGCAGACCGTGCCCGCTGACGCGAAGATCCATCTCTGGGAATCTTCCTGCCCGAAGAGCGTGACGCCTGCCACAACCGCCAAAGACACGCCCGCTGCTGAACCAAGTGAAGAGAGACACGCACGCCGGACCAATAGATTTGCCCGCTGACGTACGCTGCAACAGAAGATGGCGTGCGTCGGAGTCCACAGGACAGCACACACAGTGGAGGTGAAGATGCGCCTTGCCAGAAGTTGCCCCCGCTGCTCACAACTCGCGTGGAGTCGGAAGATGGATACCCGCGCCGAGCGCTTCGCCAGTGCCGTCTTTTCTACGTCAGACGCGTCGCCCGGCCGTCCTCCGCCCCTGCCGCCTTGCGTCCACGAAAATTCAAATTTGAATTTTTGAAGTTCGGGGTGACCGCGCTTTTCACCCACCCCTCCTCGCCCGCCCAAGGCCTCCGCAGTGTGTACCACGGACACCAGCCAGGACTCGACGGACATCCGCGACGCGGCTGTGTATACGAATATGAGAACGGGCCGCGGGAGACCTTTTAGGACGAATCCTAAAAAACGATTTTTAGGACTGCATGTAACGACGCCGCACGAAATCCTAAAAATCCTTTAGGACTCGTCCTAAAAATTTTAGGATTCTTTAAGGAGTGTCTAACGAGACCCTAAGAAAAAAAATTGAACTTTCAGATAGCAAATGATTATCCGGTAAAAGAATTCCGAAAATAATGTGAAATATTCGGAATTACTCAGATGAGAGAACGCGCAGTTTGGAAAATGATAGCTGCAAGGGGGATTTCCCGTACCGTTTCAAAAAAAAAAAAAAAAAAAAAAAAAAAAAATCGGGAAAAAATTATTCCGGATTTCCAAATAACGGGAAATTGCAAAAGGAAATCGAAATTTTCGAAAGGAATTTCGAAATTTCAGAAAAACGAAAACGGAAATTTCAGATGTTGCGCTATTGCGATTTTACACAACAAAAATAACGAGAAAACAAAATCCCAGAAATAAAAAAAATTCCGATTTTCGGCAGTGAGGTCAAAATCGTAATTTTGGGGGCTAACTAGTGTGCTTTTATCAATCAATCAAGACTAATCAGCTACTCAGCCCCCACACACGTGTCAGATCAGGTTGTCCTGATTCACGTGCGGTGTTCCGATACCAACTGCTACATGCCCGGTTGGGCAATGTACATATAAAATCGAGGATCCACAATGTGATAAAAAGGTCTTTTTTTTTTTATATATATATTTAACCAGCCCCCACCGGTGTTAGTGTTGCTGATAAGAGCAGACACCACTACCACCAGAACGGAGGCTCCATCTATTGGTGGGGAGCATCACCTGCTGGAAAACGGGTTCAGCGTCCCTTGTACAGAAAAGAAGAATGTCTGGGAACAATGAGAGCGATATCAGTGAGGTCTGCCAGCATTGATTGCCCTGCTACCCAGGGGATTGACTGAGCAGTCCTAAATAGTATCCTCTTCACCCTCAAAAGGGCGCCAGATAAACCAGTCAAGGCCTGGAACTATTTAGCATTACTTCTATTACTCCTAATCATCCCAAGAAGGTCTTCCTGTCTTTGTGACTGATGACCTGATGACAACGTGCCAGCATTGAATCTCTCGGGCTAACCCGTATACAGTCCCCCCTAGTGTTCTGCAGAGTCCATTCCATACCACGTCATATCCACTAGACAATTGGGGGGGGGGGGGACGAAGCCTGGGAATTGTTCCGGAGGTTTCAGTGGGGTCGAGGCGTCCACTTGGGTCCATTCATGGAACTGCAGGTGGTAGTCTTTGATGATCTCCACCCCTGGTTGACCCTCCCCTGAAGCTGTGCGTTCTGTGTGCTCTCCCTTCCATTCCACCTTACCTATCCTCCCTCCATTTGCATCCCCAAGCCAGTTTGAGCTGAAGTCCCGGATTTTTTGTCTGATGTCACTTTGCGTATGAAGGAGATGAAGTCGTGCCTTTAACTCGTTCCATTTTGCAATTATTTCTGTCTGAATATGTTGCTGGATGCTCTCAGTGAATTCAGGGCCTTCCAACCGCGCCCCCTCCATGTGATAAAAAGGACTGAATGAACAATGCAGTGCAAGTAGAATCTCAACAAGCGACGTACATTCTGGTACATATAAAGATAGTGCTTTATAGCGCAGGGAAGACTTAGATACAAGTCCTGACTTGACCGGGACTGACCTCTCTCACGTAGTACAAGATAGCGCAGCAGAATGCTCGAATACCAATGTCGAACCCAATCAATGTTGCAATGCAGACTAGACATACATCATCTTCATCACAAGGTGTGAAGGAGCCTGGTGCTACACACAGGAAGAATGCGCCAGGTCCTGATCATGCACAGACGAAGAGGACGGGAACAGACGAAGAGGAGAGGGCATATGGGAAAGTCGTCAACACCAAGTCTTCCTGTTGCATACTCGTGAAACACAGTCATAAGTATGGCGCAGATTCCCAGAACCGACCAGATAATACAGAGTTAATACAAATGCAAGCGGAAGACTTGAGATACCTTGACTGACTCTATCCTGACTCGGACTGCAATAGAACACTCTCAAACATTCATCAGGGGTGTGAAAGCCCTGGACTTAGACGTGGACGAAAAGGTCATGGTCTGAGATTATCCACGGACGAATAGAGGGAGGAGAGAGACGAAGGGAGGAGGAGAGGGAAGATGACGTCAACTCAATGTTTCCAAAGATAGTATCTTGAAATGTCAGAGGTAACAAAAATCCGAAATGTCGTGAATACAGTGTCTCACAATGTCTCAGATATCGGTCTCACAATGTCAAGTACATCTCCAGAGGAAGATGAAATCAGATCCCACCCGTAGTCCTCAACTTGTAGTCCCAATGTCGCTGTCTCAAATGTCATCAGAATTTGTAACCATCCTTCATACTCATAGTAGTCCCGTAGGAGAACCCAGGAGTAGACTTAGACTTAGAGGAGTAGGAGAAGAGAGAGAGAAAGAGAAATGAGAGAGAGCGGAGGGGGGACGCGAGATGGAAGAAAGGTAGGACCTTTCTCCCTGTTACCGGTGATAGTGGCTATGGCGCCATGCTGCTGGGCTGGGCAGATGGCTGTGCTGCTCCAGCTGCTGCACAACTTCCTCCTTGCCGCTGCGCGATGTCTCGCTCGCTGGTCTTGCCTCTGGTTGACTGGTGCGCTGATCTCACTACCGTTGGGCTCTGCGCTAATCTGCTGATGTTGGAGCGTTGCGCTAATCTCCAGACTAACGTCTCACTACTCACTAACCTACTGAGGCTGGTACCCTGCCTTTTGTAGTGCTGGGCCCGCCTCCTACCTGCTGGTACCTACCGGCCTGGACCGTTGATCTGATCAACGGTCCAGATTCAAACTGGACTTGGCGCCAAAATGCAGCATGCTCTGAAACTGCGCCGCCAGTAGGTCCTATGCTGGACCGGTACCGGCCTTGTGGCCGTTGGCCTCGGTCTCTACCCCTGGCCTGCAATGAACCGCCGTACCCCTGGCCTACCTGGGCCTCGTCAAAACCGTCGTCCCCTAAGGCCTACCCTGCCTACCTAGAACCGGGCCCTAACCGGGGCCCGTGTGGCTCAGAATGCCACACTTTGTCACAAGTCCCAAATAATCCCTCGTCGAAATGTCTGAAGCCCCTCTCCCTCAGATTGATGATCTYCTTGAGCGGTTAGGCGGCGCGACGTACTTCTCGAAGTTGGACTTGAAGTCAGGTTACCACCAGATTGAAATCCAGCCTCAAGACCGGTACAAGACCGCATTCAAAACGCGGTACGGCATTTTGAGTGGGTTGTCATGCCCTTTGGCCTCACCAATGCCCCCGCGACTTTCCAAGCAGCGATGACGACTGAGTTTTGCGACTTGCTCGATCGCAGCGTCCTCATCTACCTTGATGACATCTTGGTTTACAGTAGGACGTTGGACGAGCACATCGTACACCTTTGCGTTGTTCTGGATCGTTTGCGACTAGCCAAGTACAAAGCGAATCTCGACAAGTGCGAATTCGCCAAGCAAGAGCTTGAGTACTTGGGTCATTTTGTCACACCGAAAGGCATTCGTCCCTTAGCGGACAAGATCCAAGCCATCGTGGATTGGCCGGAACCCCGTTGCATGACAGATGTACGCTCTTTCATAGGTTTGGCTGGATATTATCAGCGATTCATCGAGTCATACTCGAAAGTGGTCGCTCCTTTGTCGAGACTTCAGTCCCCAAAGGTGCCCTTCGAGTTCGACGACGCAGCCCGTGGCGCATTCACTACGTTGAAGGCAGCRATGCAAGCCGCACCTGCCCTCCGTATATATGACCCCACCCTTCCCACCCAAGTGACTACGGACGCTTCGGGATACGGTATTGGTGCGGTGTTGGAACAAAGTCACGAGGACGGTTGGCATCCGGTCGAGTACTTCTCCCACAAGGTGCCACTCGTAAACACTCTCGACGACGCTAGGAAGAAAGTGCTACTCGCGTTCGTCACCATTCTCAAACGGTGGCGTCACTTTCTTCTCGGCCGTCAGAGTTTTAAATGGAATACGGACAACAATCCGTTGACCTTTTACAAAACGCAGGATACGGTCACTAGCATGATCAGTCGATGGATGTATTACATCGACCAGTTCGACTTTGACCCGTGCCACATTCCCGGTCCCGCTAATCGAGCTACGGATGCCCTCTCACGACGGCCTGACTTTTGTGCCATTGTGACCACGACATTCGACCTCGATGACGATCTGCAGCCGCATTTCATCAAAGGCTACAAGTCTGATCCGACTTACTCTACGCTTTACGAGGAGCTTTCAACAGATCACACAACGGCTAGCCACTATCGGATTTCCGACGGGTTTCTTCTCCTTCACACGAGAGGAAAGGACTTGCTAGTTGTGCCCCAAGATCGCATCTTACGGACTCGTCTTCTGGGCGAATTCCACGACGCACAACTTTCGGCACACCTTGGTGTGAACCGCACACTAGCACGCCTCCGTCAGCGTTTTCACTGGCCCGACGTCCTTCATGACGTCACGAGGTACATTGAGTYATGTGCAGTTTGCCACCGTAACAAGGGTCGATCTCGAGTCCCCTTCGGCRAACTGAAACCGTTGCCGATTCCTCGGGCACCACGCCTCTCCATTGCTATGGACGTGAYAGGCCCGTTTCCCCGCGATCGCCACGGCCATGACGGTATTCTCATGGACGTTGACCGTTTGAGCAAGTATGCTCGCTTCCTTCCTTGCAAGTATCATGCTGCAGCGCCTGAGCTCGCACGAGTCTTGCACACTGGTTGGATTACCAACCAGGRTGTTCCGRAAGACAKWGTGAGCRACCGAGATACTCGCTTCATGTCGGCCTTTTGGACTTCCCTCATGGCTGAGTCCGGTACGGCAATGAAGCCGAGCTCGGCTCGGCACCCGCAGACGGATGGCCAGACGGAGCGAGCGCACCAGCTTGCTCGGCTTCCCGACATCGAGTTCGCCTATAACACTTCGGTGCACCCACCATTCGAGCTACATCATGGTGGAGAGAAAGCACGGATCTTCGCCGATCTCCTTTTGCCACAGGCTGCCGACATAGACGTCCCTTGCTCTCCCGCTTCCGTTCGGAAGTACCGAGACT